TGACGAGCCTCAGTTGATGCCACGGTCTACGTCAATCAAAAGCTGGCTTTTTTTGCAGTCTCGGGTGTCGCTGTCATCGGTCTCGGCGTGATTGTTGCTGGATCTGTTCAATTAATTTGTGCGGCGGGCAAGCGCAACTTCGGGCTAAAACTCTGTTGACATTACCTGGAATACACCTGACATATAGAGGCCATACGCGAAATTCTTGCCAGCTATCATCATCATGCCATTAAAAGCCGCCATATTGTTTTTTTTTTTCACATCTTTTAGTTGTGGACGAGGCGCATTTGCGTTTAACTCGGTTTTCATGATATTACCACAATCTATTTGTGCACTCAAAGGGTTGCTGTTTAGTTTCGGTTCAAAGAAGAAAAAGAAAGACGTCCGCGAAATTCTGGGAACGGAATTATCATCAACGAGGTCGCAAGACTCGTCACTCGAGCAGCGAACTGGGCCATCCAGGTTAGTGAACGGTCTTCATCGAAGACGTTGTCTGAGGGATTTGTACTGAATTTGCAGCAGGTGATCATATATCATATCTACAACTCCCACTTCGCCGGGACCATTGTCCCTCGGGCGAAACTATCGGTACGGGAACCCTCCAGCATGGAGGAAATTTGATAATTGATCACGAGTACACTAGATGGCGCTTTTCTTTTTGCATGGGGTTTATTGCAATCATTAAACTGAACATTCAAACAGTTTTTATGACCCCTTTAAAGAACTGTTCGTTGGCAGTGTACTTCATTCTCTTCGTGGCTAGCCCCCTTTCAAAAGTCCGCGCCAATGCCTGTCCGCCATTGCTTGCTCACGTACTATGAGCATGGATTGGACACGAGTGTGACGTCGGCGTTCGGCTGGGCCCCGGATCCAATCACGCTCTTCGTGTCCAAGCAATGGCGACCGCCAATGCCGAGTGGGCTAAAGCGCACACCCAGCTCGACGCGCGTGGAGCGAAAGCTCGCGCTGCAGAACCCAGGGATCCTGGGTTCGAGCCCCACCCCTGCCCGTTTCGATCTGGATGAGCATCGCACCGGCGTGCGGTCGTGTATCACTACTGCGTGGTGCACGTTAAAGACCCCAGACTAGCGGTTGTACTGCACTGCTAAATTGCTCATCTACAGCGAGTGACTCGTCGCAACTTTAATGGCTGACCAACTACACGCTGTATAAATATCCCCTTAACCCAATTTGCAATTTTGTTTTGCTGCTTGACTGACTTTTACAAAGGGTCTTAAAAGAGAAAAAGATATATTACGCAGGGTGTTTCAGCGAAGAATGAGAAAAATTCCTACAATTAGTGTATTCCAGGTACAAATATAATTTTCTCGGGACCACATTACTCGTGGTGGCGGATGTCAGAAAATGCGCGATCGCTGATGAGTTCGCTAATTTATTAAAATGACTAATTAAGTTTTTTTTTTGTTTTTTTTTTAATTTGTAAAAATAGACATATGGTTCCAATTAGAAACTTGCTGAGCGCCATCGAAAGCCACTAAATCGGTAATTTTCAGAAAGACTGAGCGTGTGAGAAGCGTCGTATAGTGCACTAAAGTTACCACTCGTGGAGCGGGTATCGAGGAGGAGATTGAGCAGTCACGCCTCTAGCGGTACGCTTTAGCTGTGGGGAATAGAAACCGTATTCTCTTGTTTGTTTTTTTATTCGAGATCTCGAAGATGACGATTCGAAGGCCGCTACTCGCGCGACTAAAGCACTGGTCAGTGCGAAGCGCTCGTGCCCAGACAATGCTAAAAGCAAGATTTTTTTCTTTTTTTGTGTGTGTTAGTAAACACCGAGCTATGGGGACAACAAAATCGATAAAGCGCCCCCTATAGTTCGATCTCCTGCCCAATAAGGCTAGCGGGTGCGGTAAAACGCCCGCGTATTTTTTTTTTTTTTTTTTTTTTTTTTTTTTTTTTATGAGTGCCCCGGCATTGTGCTTGCTCCACGAGTGGTAACTTTAGCGCACGCGCTCCATAGACCACTTGAGGTGACCTAGAACCCCATCTATAAGCCGTTAGAAAGTAGCTGGAGCGTTACAGAGGCCAAGTGGTAATCATGTGAATTGATAAAGTTCAGCGGAAGTTAAGAATGCAGGTTTTTCAGCGTCATTCGTATTCAACGGAACTTGGCAATACCCTCATAATAGGTCAAGGGTCGTAAAGTATCTGGCGCCTTGTAATCTGTCAAGCGAATAAAGACGGGTAAAGGGGTAGACGCCTTGCTTTTTGAAGCTGTTGATCTTTCTGCAATCAACACAAAAAAGAGCAGACCCGTCTTTCTTGCGCATCAAGACAACCAGTGACGACCACGGGTTGTTGGATGGTGTGACAACCCCTTGACTAAGCATGTCAGCGACCTGTGTTCGTATAACTTCGTGTTCTGTGGGAGCTAGTCGACCTAATGGGTGGTGAATAGGAGCATGCTCACCTGTGTCAATCATGTCTTGAACAAGATGCATGGATCTATGTGCGGTAAGTTGCGATGAGATTCTTGGAGTAAGTGAACTTGGTTCAAAAATATACGAAAAAGTCAGACGAAGAGGACGGACAGGACAAACATCTTTCGTGTCCTGTCCGTCCTCTTCGTCTGACTCTTTCGTATATTTTTGAATTTATTACCAACGCGCTCAATCCAAGTTCAACTTGGAATTCGTCGAGGGATGACCCAAAGTTAAACACCTCCCAAGGTACCTGGTCACTCTGATTTGAAGCTTGTGCTGGTTGTCGTGCGTGATCGACAGCAACTGTCAAAAGCTCTGACGAAGGAAAAAGAAACCACTCGCCGACGCCTTGTCCTTGTTTGAGCTTGGCAGGGGTATACGCCCGAGGTTCATCATCAGGAAGCTGAAAAAACCATCAGCACTCGCAGTCAATGCATGTGCTGCCACTTCGCAATCATGTCTGGAAATCCGCGATGCCTCAAAGACAATGTCTCCATAAAGATGAGGCGGGTTTGCCTGCACGTTGACGCACATGGCTGCCTCTGGCTGTATCACCGTCGTAGCAGGAATGCGTACATCCCAAGTCTCTTTTTCAGGAACAGAGGTGGATTGCAGAAAGATGCGCGGTAAGCCTTTCATTCTATCTACCGCATAAGACGCACATGATTCCCAAAAGGTTATGGAGTTGCAACAAAATCGCCAAAGCAGAGAACAGAGTAGGCAAGATGCCCAAAAACTCGTAAAATAATTCCAGAACCGTCGGAGTGGCGCATAGGTGTGACATGCGACGCGAGCATGCGGGCCCCGTGAAGTAAGCAGGCTCTCTTGAACAACGGCACACCAGTTGTACACGAGAATCATGGGACAGACACAATTTGTAATAACGACAAAATCTTCAACGGACGTACGACCGAATGAGTCACGCATTCAAATGCCAAATGACCACGAGGTCCTCACCGGTAGCACGACCCGTCGGCATTTTTGCGTGAATGGGACGCAACATGCGGGCGAGTCCCTTGTGAGATTGACTATGCTTGTACTTGGACTCCGTGGGATGTTGATGGCTGCGTGCAGTTGGTGACCCACTGAGCAGTGCTTAGTTCCATGGCGTGGATAACAGCTGCTTGTATTGTATCCGGTCTTGCCAGGCGAAGAAATTTGTGAACTTCGTGATCGCTTATAGCGTCCTCAAACGCGGCCGTGCCGACACGATTCAAGGTATCGGGTGTCGCTCCCGAAAATTACTTGTAGCTTAGGCGTTCTAAGATTGGTGCAAGTTCGGAGAAACTCTCACTTGTTTGTTGGCGTCGCGACCGGAGTTCTACGTAGTATGCGTGTTGCAAGTGGTCATCACCAAAACCATCACGTAAGGTTTTGACTAGTGTGTGCGTGAAGGGGTGTCCAAACAGGACACTACAAAACGCACGACTCCGACAAATCGTGAAAATTGAAGCGGACGCGCCCGCTTCAAGCCCGCTTCAATTTTCACGATTTGTCGGAGTCGTGCGTTTTGTAGTGTCCCGTTTGCAATGGACACCCCTTGAGACGAGTGTCTTGAAGTGCATGGAACGCGTTGAGCGCCGGGCCATCAAGTTGGGCGATGACAGCGCGTGACTTGTCATCTTCGATCCAGTGGGTTGCATCGGCAATTATATGCCGACCTGGTGTAGGTAAGGATCCAGAGGGGTTTCATTATGAAACGGCTTCAACTAGAAACGCTGCAGTGCAGGTGGTGCAGTCTGGTTTGGGGAAGAAACCTGCTCAATTGCGGCGACTGTTGGTTAATTGTGGCGGTTGCCCAAGCGCCTCCAGAGCAGCTACTCGGCGAACGATGTCGGCATAGTTTGCAGCTAAATTGTCTGACTGCTGCTGCGTAGCGGCCATGATTGCTAACGTTTGTTGTTCCAGTAACCCTTGTAGGACCTCGAGTGTCACCACTGTCGTGTGAGTGTCCGTTGGTGCCACAGCCGACTGCGAAGTGATGTCATCTCGTGGCTGGTTCGAGGCAGACGGTTCACCGGGAAGCTCCCTTCTTGACGACGTACAGAGGTCCTTGACGCATTTCAGTTGGCATCGCACCTCTGCTACCAAATTGTAACGGTTTATTATTCGACTGATGAACAGCCTTGTTCTGGCTCACTCGACCAAGCCCCCCGTTTCGTCCTTCTCTTTCTCCTCTTCTATTTTTTTTTCTTTCTTACAGCTACAATATTGATTATCTCTCTCCTTGCTTATCCATTCCCAAGCACGCCCATGAAAATTGGGCAAATATGATGTAAAGGTGAAGTGACGCCCAGAATTTCTGATGTGGAGGTGGAATGGATCAGTCGCTCAAAGCACACCAGTACAACTCTCGGCATGCTTAAACCCTTTTTTTCATCCAATCTGAGAGCGAGCGAGTTCCAAGAGAGGATGAAGCAGCCCAGCTCGAGCGCCCGAGCAAGAAGCAGGCGCTCACGATCATTGGCGTTCTGACGGCGTTCCCGAGAGCGCTTTTGTCCGGCGTCTCCCGAAGTCAGCCCGCGCCTCCGCGAACGTTGCGGCCGGCCCACACAGATGGCACCAATTGCCCTTTTGCTGCTCTTGGCGATGGCAGTGGCCCCCCAGGACGCCGCGTCGAGCGACGTCGTGGAACCAGCACGACCCGCCATCGAACCGTGGCCAGTTGCGTCGGCCGGCCGGAAGGAAAGCCAGCAGCCATTGACCGAGCGCCATGGGGCGCCGCAGCCCGCGGCTGTTCTGCTCGGTGCTTCGGGTGGCAGCGGGTTGGATCACCGTCGGGGGCTTGTCGAAGGACTAATCGAAAGGGCCGAGGCCTCGGCAAGGCTCCACGGCGGGAGGCGGGACGACTACGAGGAGGAGTACGACGATGACGATGACGATGACGACATCATGGACGCCTCGGGGGCGGCTAGTCTCCAGGCGGACGTCAATTCCGAAAAGATGCAGATCTTCCTTAGAGACATCGAGAAGCTCTACTCACGAGGGTTTCGACGCTCGCACGCACTGCGCAGCAAGAAAGGCCGCGACGACTGGCAGGGTGTGGGCCACATACGGCGCCACGACGAGGAACTTGTGGCCGCCGATCAGTCAGCAGTAGAGAAGAACTCATCTTCACAAGTCGACTCGAATAATGTCGTGTTGGCGGGACGAAAGTCGATCAACCTGACCTCCTTGTCATACGTACTTAAGAAGCCGTACCTTACAGTGCAGGCGCAAGACCTGAATAGGGACGACAAGGTCTCCCTCTACGTGTCTGTGGCGTTCGAAGACCAAGTCATCTTCCACTGGTTTCTCAATGGCAAGCCCTTTGAGGAATACGACTCCATGCAGACGGTGGACATGAAGAGCTTCGTTGAACCCGCTACCAACAAGACTCTCTTTTCGCGGGTGTCTATTGTTGAGGTGGACCATTTGCTGAAGCTGCCCACAGTGTCCGGCAAGTACGAGATCCACTGCGCCGTTACCGTGGACTTGACACAGAAGGACGTCAAGCACGTGTTGACGCCTCAGTTGACTGACTTTTGCCCGCCTGCCAACTGCTTCGACCGGCATGCCATTTGCAGCAACGGAAAGTGCATCTGCGCCGCGCCATATCCAGTTATGCTCACCTCCGTTCACTCCACGTGTCGCACGGAGTCATTCCTGGAGACTCCCTGCTACCACAACGATCAGTGTCTGTACACAACCAATAACAGCGAGTGCATTGACCAGGGCTGGTGCGCCTGCAAGAAGGGCTACGGCCGTACAGTGCAGCACCTATGCGTGCAGAAAACCGGCGTCAACTCGCGCTGCGATAGTGATGCCCAGTGCAAGGCTTTCAATGCCAGCTGCATCCTGAGCCACTGCACATGCAACTCGGACTCCGTGGAAGAGGGTGACCATTGCGTCGTCATCAGCAGATCAGTAAACCGGCTCCATTCGAGCGCCGTCTCCCTGCACCGTTTTCAAGAGATTGGCACTGCCGTCCTGGTCGTCGGCCTGGCCCTCTGCAGCCGCCGGGGGCCACTGGTTTCGTGAAGTGACGCACTACCAGAAAATAAAATCTCATTATGCAGGCAAGGGGTTGTCCCTTGGCGTGGGGGAAATGGCAATTTACAACCGAGTACGACCGAGAGAGACAAGACCGGTTTTTAAGCCTCTTGCGACGTCTTAGGACCGGATGCGCTGCAGCGGAGCTTAAGACGTCGCTAAAGGCTTAAAACCCGGTCTGGTCTCTCTCGGTCGTATTCGGTCGCATATATGTGAACGGCGCTTTAGCCTCTCCGGTCCTAAGAAGTCGCAAGTGCGTGAACGCCGGGGAAACGGGCGACCGAAGGTGAGAAAGAGCAGGTGGCGAGGAGCGCGATCACATGAAGCCCAGCGCAATCGCGACTGGCCAAACGCGGTGCGCCTTAAAGGAGCTATGCAACAATTTTTGTACTTTGCGCAAATACCGCTTAAAACGGATCCCTAACGTTAATGACCTATGAAACACGCGTTCGTTTTTCACCCCACGCAATACAAGTCCCAGAAAAAAAATTAAAGAAAAACGAGCAGCGTTCACCCCCTCAACTCGAAGCCAGAACAAGCGGCCACGTGATCTGGAGCCGATTATATGCCGCCAGTGTTGATCACAGCCACGCGCTGGGGTTGGCAAAGCGCAGGACACGCGCTGAGTTCCAGACATTGTTATGGCTCGGCTGTTGTCGTCGTTGCAGCGATTGGACACGGGTCACAACCCGAATACTTCTCGAGCTAGCAATTGTCACGAGCCTAAGTCGAGTGCCCACGCAATGCTCGGGTCCAATCTATGAACCGCATTCAAATATCGTCACTTGGGTGTACTGCGATCCCCGAGTTACGTCATCAAATTTTGCAAAGGAGAGACTGAATGAAAATGATCGCTTTTGTCCTTGAAATTACACCGCGACAAAGGAGTTTCTTGGCCCATGGCGTTGCGTGTGAGTATCCTTGAGTCCCAGGTGTGCCAGTAAGCTCGTGTAGAGAGAAAAACATTCCAATTGAATATCGTTGCACAGCTCCTTTAACCGCGACTATTGTCAAAGAGAGGGCGAGGGTATCGGATCGGTATCACTGCTGCCCTTGCCCTCTCCTGGCACCAAAGTTACGTGCGATAAACGCGCGCTAAGATGTATCTCTTAATGTTAATTTTGAATCTGCAATCATATTTCAAACATATTTTCTCAAACGAAAGATATGGCATCCTAATTTGGTAATGTCTTACGGGTCGTTAGGATAATTTCTCACTAAAAATCTTTCTTTCTGACTATACATAGGGATTCCCAAGGGTCCATCACACATCTTAAAGCTACTAAAATGTTTATAAGGTGGTGTTACCTATTACAAATAAATCAGTTGCGAAAATAAAATAATTGGGATAATTACTTTTTATCTATTGACTAGGGCAAAAAGTAGAACTTAGGGATGTAGTTCAGTTCCCCCGCAAGGCATTGGGACTTGACAAAACAGGCAAAGCTGAGAAAATCCACTGGACGCGATATTTGAGTGCACTGTTCCCTGGGCACGCTCAGAACGAGCTCACACTTATAGGTTCCCAAGAGCGGCAATCATGATGGTGGGAAAATGCACACTACAAAAGCACTAAGGAAGCTCGCCGGGCGCTGAAAAGCTACGCACACAGCTATGGCCGCCAGTGAATGCCCTCTATCATTTCAATCGAGCTACTTGAGACTTGAAACTTGTTTTTAGACTAGCTAGAGATTGAATTCAGCATTCATATTTTGTGGGAAGATACTCTGAACTGTGAAAATCTCAAAAATGTAATTTCTGAAAAATCAACAATGTTTTTCTTTTATTTAAAAAGCTCATTTTTCCTTAAGGAGACGTGCGCAAGGAGAATACATTTCTTTTTACTTTTATTATTATTATTTTATTTTATTTTACATTGAAATTTTATCTAGTTTTCAAATAACCTGGCTTTTTGTTTGTTTGTTTGTTTGCGTGCGTGCATGCATACGTGCGTGTGTGTGTCTGTGTGTATGTGTGCGTTTGCTGGATGCTATGCACATGCAGAAAAAGTGTGTTCTTGCGCACAAGCGGTGCATGGCAACAGACTTAAAAGACCTGAAAGTTAGCATATTCGACAGAAATCTGCCTGGTTGGGTGAGCTTTAAAGTACAAAAAATATGCCCCAACCAAATCTTGAAAGGAAACCCGACGTTTCAATACCAAAATGATTTGTTGGCCTAGTTGGTTAAACATTACATGTGAGGGACTGTAGATGAGCCCCGCTACTGTCCAGCACAAGGATCCTGAAGAGGTGTCCAGATAAGCGAACTCGAGAAATTCTTGAGGCTGAAGTGATTGCGACCAAAGGAGACGCCTGCATCAGTGCTCCTTCGGTGACTTTGTCATCAAAAGAATTAGAGTACATGAAATATTTTCCTTAGATATTCTTAATTTGCTTTACCTTCCTCTTTCTTTTTTTCTTAATATATTCACTGTCATTTCTTTCACTGTTACTTTAATCATGCCCACCATTTCCTATTGTTTTTACTAATTTCTTTTTTTTTCTTTTTTCAATTCTCAGTCTTTTCAGATCCTTTCACTCCTTTCTCATGAATATTTCTAACATTTAACGTTAGGGTTCTTCATCTTCCTCATCTTCCGAATTAAAACGTCAGTTGCGAGTAAGCGCTTGTCCTGTGTTGTCTCTCTCTTATCCTTGTCTTTTGCTCTTTTTAATTTTCATAAAGTTTCAATACCAGCTTGGTTTGTTCCTCAGGGGTGACAAAAAACACGCGGAGTAGCACCAGCGCACACCCTCGTCGTCTTAAAAAAAAAAAAAAATATATATATATATATATATATATATATATATATATATATATATATTTTTTTTTTTTATGATGAGTTTCCATAGAAAGCAAAATAACCTAATTCGCTCCCTCTTAAACCAATGAGTGCAATGAACAACAAAAATCTTGTGATACCTAATTTTTTACACACGACAGAATAAACAAATAGAACGGAGCACAGAACATGACATCTTTCAAGTAGCAACAATAATGAAACATTGATCTTGTTGCTAGTTGAAAGATGTAATGTTCCAATTTGTTTATTCTTTCGCGTATAAAAAATTAAATCGTACCAACATGCTCGGGTTCTAATTAATTTTGTGAGACCTATTTTATTTTTAATTTGAAAATTGCAAAAACATCATTTTCAAAGGGCTAACAAAAGTCACCTAATTATATATATATATATAATACATTCTAAATGAAGTTATGAAAGAGAAACGCGTTCGAATGTTACCGTAGATGTGTAACTACACTCCCTCGCAGAGGTAAAAATAATTTTTTGGTAATAGTTCTTCGTGATAAATTGAAGCTAGAGGAAACTGCGTTGGAGTAGGGTGCCTCAATGACCTTCGGTTTAGAGTGATGCCACCCTTTGTAGTACCCGATGCCGACAGCACGCGCTCACGGGGAAAATACAAAGAAATCGACGAAAACAAAATGTCGCCATAGCACAGTCAGCGCCACAGACGCGTGCAGAGACACGCTCTTTCACGCGCTTCTGAACAAAAAATAAATGTAAAAGTGGGAACAAAATGGCCAGATGTCTCCACCCTAAGCAAAGCGCACATGAAGGCACCCTCCTTTGGAGTAGATGGCTAGGCCTACGTCTCAACATACATGTGATGGCAGGTGACGCCAGAATTTGAAGAAATGCGCATAGAAAAATGGCTCAAGTGTATGCCGTTCAGGATTGCCAAGAGGTCTTCAAATACTTACTTGACTAATTTCGCGATCACAACCGGTCTCTATAATGTATGCATAAAATATGAAGATTCGAAGAAAATAAAACACCATAAAAGCCAAAATTATATATTTTACGAAATATTGCCGTTTTTCGAGCCGCATCTCCCCTTGAAGCGAATGACCGTCCCAATGAGCGGCAGAGCTCCTATGTTGATACTAGAGAGTTTTAGTAGATCGTTCCCATGACTCCGATAACGATACCCGATACTCCGCCACCGCCTCCCTTGTGCATGTATCGTTATCGGGGCTATCGGAGGTATCGGAACGATCTACTAAAACTCTCTACTATGTCGTTGTAGGGTTCATTCAATGCTCTATCTGTCACGAACTCCTCCGTATGGCAAAAAGCACGGAAACGTTGTGCTCTGGGAAGCGGTTTAATTTGTGTGTTAAAGGGACACTGACAGGATATTTATGCTCGCCAAAGTTTTTATTTGTACGTGACATGTGAGAGCCTAACTACCCAGAACACAATTTGCGGCTCGAAATTTGTTTTCGTTTTGCCCGAAAACCGCCGATCGAGAACTGGCCGGATTGAGTCGAGCCAAGTCGAACCCGCTCTCTTCTCCGTGGTCACGTGCCGTTTTCTATCGTTTAGACACAACTACCAGAGATAATCAAAGTCGTGGGTCATCGAAGGCCAACGTTACTAAAACACTCATTTGGGAAACTCGCCGTCGAAACCTGGGCAGCTGGCGTCCACCGAGACCGAGCTAAATACGACAACAGCGCCACTCTTTATCATTTGTCTGTACTGTCGTCACATTGAGCTTTTAGAAAGCATGTTTTTGTGTGAAAACAAACGGAAAAGACTCTTTTTGTATGAATTTTTTTTTTTTTTGGAGTTTAGTACAAAATGAAGGGCGCGTAATGTTTTTATAATCTTTAGTTTGCAAGGTTTTGCGGAACAATTATTATTGTTTTTATACAACCATGCCTCAGCGGAGCTTTCAGGTAGCGCGTCCCGACCTAGGTGCATTTTAACTTCGGTAGTAAATCGCGGGGCGTCCGCTGGGGAGACGGGGGGCACTCCTGTAAGCTGTATCTGTTTCGGCGCCGAAATGGCCGATTAAAGCCAAAATAGAAGTAACGTGCAGTTCTCGAGTGGCCGCTGCGGGAGAAATGGCGGCGTTGTGTTCGCCATTAGCTCGGTTCTGGAGGACAGATCGGGGCCACTCTTACAGAGCAGTCTCTATGGCAGTTTCCCAACTGAGTGGTTCTAGTAACGTTGTCGAAGGCATACACTCAATACTAAAAATAGGCGAAAATATCACACCCACCTTTTGTGACTTTTGAAAGTCTGCAAATACGTTAATTAAAGAAAAAAAAAAAAAAAAGTTGCACCGCCACGTGATTTTTGGCAACTTTCTCCTCTATATTTCTTCTTCCTCCCCAGTCCAGCTTCGGTTTCAATTTCGAGCAGTTGCGTTTATTTATTTTTTTTTTTTTCGCTTTATTAAATATATACGTGAAGCTGTAGTAAAATATTGATTGGGTAATCTTCTGACACCATAATAGATCGCCTGGCAGAACATAAATAAAAACTTTTTGGAGCGTGTCAGTGTCACTCTTTTCAAAAACCGAACTCATTCACTGTCCCTTCATCAAAGGATATCTCTGTAACGGTAATGTAGTAACCAGACATTTAGACATTCAATAGTACATAAGGAATTGTGGAGATATAGTTTTAATTTACTTATTTTACGTGAACACTAAAGCGTAAGCAGGTGATATTCGAACAGAATGCACCACTGGCAACCACTCTCCTTCCCGACGAAGAAAATCTCGTCCAATGATGAGGCTATCCGACAGTTTGAACAGTGCGTTTCGTTCGGTACCCGTCGTGTTTCCCCGGAGCACCGACCGGCGTTTGCAAAGGACGTCGTGCATGTTCTTCGCTAAGTAGCCTCCACGATTGCGGAGGCACCCAACGAAAAGGCCAGAGGCTGCGAAGGCCCGCACTCCTATGTACACGGTGAGCCAAGTAACAGCCCTAGGCGCAGACCCCGGCGTCGAACATAGCGGCCAAGAGCACCAAGCCCCAAAGGGTGATCCATCGCACACTCGGATTGACACTGCGGCTTTTCATGTGCTCGGCGATGTTGATGCACCGGTCGCCGAACTCCTTTTTGTGGCTGAAACACGTACAGTGGTTGAGGATGCAAGTAGCGTCGTAGTCTGCGCACTCGTCTTCCGAGTTGCAGCGCGAGCGAGCCCCCACTTTGGGCACGCACTTCTGTTCCTCGGTGCGACCGTAGCCTTTGAGGCAGGCGCACCAACCACGGCTGGTGCACTCGCTGTGGTTGCTGGTGCTCAGGCACTGCTCGTCATACATGCAAGGTGTCTCCAGAAAGGCCTCGCTGCGGCAGGTCACATGTACAGAATTCAGTTTTACTTTGTAGTAGCCTTCGCAGACGCAACTCTTGTCCCTGCACACGGCAATTCTTTCGGCGCAATCGGTATTGTGCTGGCCACCGCATTCATCACTGAGAGGGAGCGAGACATCCAGATGCACGGTGGCCAGGTCGTAGTCCGTCAGTGTAGTGCAGTTAAAGGTGTACACACCAGTCCTGGTGGGCAGTCGCGTCAAGGTATTAATGGACAAGCTGGATATGCGTCCCTCTGGCACAGTTTCCTCGGAGAGGGAGTCGTAGTCTTCCAGCGGTTTCCCGTTGAGCGTCCAGAAGATGGACACCTGTGCCTGATAGGCAACACTGCAGAACAGATCCACGCTTTTCTCGCTTCGCTTCTCATAGATGTGAGGCTTTCCTAAGCAAGGGCAAGAGACACCAGACTGAGTACACGGCACATCAGCCCAAACGTTCACGTGCAACAGACGGCGCGGAACAGATCTTTCCTCTCGTGTATTTGAGCGTAACGAGCCGTATATCTAAAAAAAATTAAAAGCGCTCACTTTATAACCCTTCTTTGGCTCCGTCATCGGTTACTTATGCTTAGCCACGGTTGGCAATGTACTAAATTACTGATAATGGCAGAATGTTCCCAGAGTGGAGACGCTTATCACCGCCCTGGTGTTATTATATCGGTTACTACTATCGAGCATTATAAAGAGCAATACTTCGTGCACCCTTAAAACCGCTAGTATGATAATCTGGTAAGGGTTTACTGTCTAGACGGTCCAACGCTCAATATCGAGATGGGTTACATGCGGCGATTCCCTCAAGAGCCGAGAGGTGAACGCAATTCAAGTGGCGCTCACCTTTCTCAAACTTCATCTTCGGCCGGCTCGCGGCTTGCCGCGCTGAGCCGCCGGCGGGGCCGCGTCGCACCATGCCGGGCCTCTGCAGATGGCCCCTGGGGCTGAAACTGCGGAATATCTGGAGGTCCCCGACGGGACGGAACGGTGCCCGCTGTCGTCGGAACAGGTCAGGGCCTGGCCGCCGCTCCATGATGTCAAGCACCGACTGCCTCAGTGCCTTGGAGAGCCGAGGATCGTGCTGCCAGGAAACGTTCTGCAAGAACTGCGACAGCTCCAGCCTTGGACTGAGCTTGGCCTTCCGGAACCCATTGCATGGCACGACCGGCAGCAGCAGCAGTAGCAGCGGCGAGAGTCCCAACGGCAGCATGACGCGCAGACGAGCCGCGGCACACGACTCGGGCCGTCCCTTTGGCCACGATGAAAACGACGAAGAGCGGCCTACCGCCGTTCCGTACGAGGAGTGCGCTCGATGGCCTCGGACTTGTTTCGTTTGGCAGAGTTACGGTCGCAGTTCCAAGCAAAGGCTGCTTTCCGTTCATTAGACTATGTCCGTCGCAGTGGAAGCGATCCAACGAAGGATTAGAAGGATCGGCCTTTTTTCTCATTAGTTTGGGTGTTTGCAGGCCTTCGGGTACGGGCTTCGGCCTTTCTGCTTTCCCCCCGACTCTCCCGAGTTAAAAAAATAATAATAATTAAATGATCGGCCGATCTTTCGCGAATTCCTGCAGGGATGACTTGACTAACGACTTTAATTTCGAATCGGGCAGTTTTTTTTTGCCCTGAGCCGAAATTAGTAATAACTCTTGCCGATTTTTTTTTGGACCCTATCACCCTGAACATTTTTTTTTTCCCCAAGGAGAAGGAAGCTCTTTAGCTGGGAGCACGGTGACATGTTGTGATGCCTAGTGGGTCAATTGTTTTTTTTTTGTTTTTTGTTTGTTTGTTTGTTTCGTCATTCTTGACTCAGTTTGTTTCTTCCACCTTCCTCCGCCACCCTTTACTGGCCTTCTCCCATGCTTTTTTGGCGACGAGATCTTTCGGTTGCACCCTTTTATGGTTCCCATCCGTGATGTCACAGCCAAGATTAGTACTTGCGAACACGTTCGATGGTGTGTAAACAGCATTGTGGAAGCTTGAAGCCAATCTGTGGTTAAACCAACTGCCAAAGTTAAAATTAAAATTAAAACATATACATAGCGTTCAGAAAAAAAAAATAATATGATCAACACCACCCGTAAATGACAACTGCTTGTTTGTATTTCTGAAAAGCGCTCGAAGAGCACCCATCGGACAGCGCGATGCGACTCGGGAGATTCCGCGCATTCTTAACGTCAACCGTCTCAAAACGGGGACACGAGTTTCGTTACTTGGTGGCTAAGCTCATAACCACGCCCCAGGCCACGCCAGAGGCCCGAGTTCTGTGCTTTTGGATGAGGAGGCGAAGAAGTGACAGATCTCTTCCTCCTCTTCTCGGTCTTATCCCATCCGAAGCCACCTCCCCATCCCATTCCCCCCTACCCCGACCTACCGACCAACCCCCAAGCCCCCCCCCCCCCCCCCCCCCAAAAAAAAAACAAAACAAAAAAAAAACCGTCATCCTATCTGCTTTTTGCTGTGCACCAGCCGCAGGAGCGCGCGAGAGAAGGAAATTTATAGGAAAATCCGGTTCGACCATTTTTGACAGGCGCCGCGCGCGCGTAGCTTGGCGCCATATTTTTGTAAGGACCAAGGTTTGGGCACGCCTACAAGGTGTAATCTTCAGCATCTTCAACTGGCACATTACGATGACAAGCGACAACTGGTTTTGACTTGCGACGCATCGCCGTATTGGGGCAAACTTGTCACGGATGAGCGATGATGGAGAGTACATTACCGTTGCCTATGCGTCCAGAACACTCAGCAAAAGTGAGAGGAACTACCCAAGTAGCACACTCAGTTCTGGGGATATCCTTAGGGTGTCCTAACGTTCTGGGGTATCCTATGAACGCCCACAGGACATTCCCAGAGCGTTAGGACATCCTAGAGACATCCTGGGACATCATAGAAAATATGCTACTATGGTATGCCCAAGCTGACAAGGAAGGATTAGCCATCATTTTTGGCGTGAAACACTTCCACCAGTAATGATATGTATCGCTAGTCAGCGTTGAAGAAAACAGCTGCAAGCGAGCAGCGAGCAGAAGAGCGCGCGCTACGCGACCATGATCAGTGGCAGACTTCTTTTGTTCCTGTAAACAAACGCGAGTCTTTAATAGAAATAATGAATTAAAAAATAAGGAACCCCACCTATTCGTGGGCTCCGTCGGCCACCATTTGCCCATTGAAAATTCCCGAAATTCGCTTAGAACATCTGAATAAGACGGCGGTTTATTCTGAAACTTTGCTATCTGGTCTGGACTGCCAGCGACACATTTGGGCGGAGACGGAGCGTTTGGCGACGCAGAGTTGAATTTTGTGATTAAAAAAACCTGTATATTGGGTGTGTGTAGCGGGGGGTGGGGGGGGGGGGGGGGGGGGGGGGGGGGGGGGAAGGCAGGCGGGCTGGTCGAGAACCTCCCCTTCCCCCAAAACCTGGGAAATTGAAAACCTTCCGCCCAAGTGTCCAAGTCTAAAACGTCGCAAAATGTTGTAACGAAAATATAACAGAGCAAGTTGCCTTTGCAAGAGCTGCCGATCATTGCTTCAAATTCTGCCGTGCAGAAATGGAAGCAGGGCGTTTTCAGATAAGATCGACAACCATGTCCGGTGACCATTCTTAATTTCGATGAAAAAAAAAATATATTTTGCTGGCTTTATGCCCAGAAGAATAAAACTAATCCTTGTTTTAGGGAAAAAAAATTTTGTCTGTGAAAAACAAATGTGTAAGCACCCTCTCAGTCACGTGCGCGTTTTGCGTATCGCGCAATGTTGACATTTCGGGCGACTTCCCCCCCAAAAAAAACTGTTCTGGCTACGGGTCTATAAATATTCACTGACAAATTAGCCGTAGGAAGGATTGACAAAAAGTATTAATCACCGAGTATTAGGCTAGTTATTTCGAAAAAAAAAATCGCAAGCACGGCACATTGCGCAATAACGCTCTGGATTGAAGAATATTTTTCTCCGTATCTATAAAAACTAAGGTCTTGTGTTGCCCTGTATATAGCATAGAGTTATTATAATGTACGCTAGAGGTTCAAGTGGCGCTAGTGTGCTGACGCAAATTGAAGCAGACAGCAACCAGTCGAAAATTGACTTCCGGTAATGCATTTCTATGGGAAAAAGTGAGTGCATTTTCTCTCTGCGCTCGATCATAAGAGCAAATATCCCGAATAATTCGTACGTACTAGGTAGCTTGGAACATTTCTCAGTCAGGCCGACGAAATAATTGGTCAGTTACGGTGTTTTTCTTTCAAATTCATCGCATTAAAAACGGTGCTAGAACGGCTTCGTACGTGTATTTATGTGCACTGTCGGACACTGTTAGCGCGAACACGACGTCGGCGCTTTCAGCGTGGGTGATATACGTGCCAAACGAACGAAGAACATCTGGAAATTAAGAAAGACGGCAAGAACTACGCAGTAACACTGGATCAGTAACTACACGTGCATATGCGATCAAAATAAATTGAAGGCCACGTAATTTATTCCTATTTTAAGTAAGTAAGTACCGCTTTATTCTTTCTGCTCTGAGCGAAGCTGCTTGTTCTACGTTCAAAATATCACTCGCACGCTCGAAATCTTTGAGAACAAGTGCCCGATAAAAGCTGCCCGGCAGAGAAAACAATACGAAGAGACATCTTTTATAGCCCACGGACTTTATTCTCTACGTTTTGAATGTTTTTATCCGCTCGTGCACGACGGGGTCATTTTTATATACTGACAGGACTGGCATATTATCAATATACAAACGTCACCGGAATGCTGGCGAGCCTTGAACACACTCTACGTTGCTTTCGATTGTAATTTTGCTTCGAATCGTCGCTTGTTTTTATACACCTGCTGCGGAACACACGTTTGGGAGTGAAATGTAGCGAAGTTAAAGATCGGTCACTGATAAAGAAAAATGCACTAACTAAAGCAATTACACTTTTACAGTGTTAATCAAGGTACATACTATTTGGTACGACCCAAATAACCAAAGTGTTCCGTGCTATTTTTCGGCGAGGAGGCAAAAAGCACGCGCGTTTTCCCGTGGGAATGCACAGGAGCACCGCAAAAGTAGACTGGTTGCTGTCTGCTTCAATTTGCGTCACGGAAGTCGCATAGACACTAGCGCCAGTTGAACCTCTAGCGTACATTATAATAACTCTATGGTATATAGTTAATCTTTGCGTGAAATATTGTTGTCCTGGTTAGCGGGAGAAATTTACGAGTTCAGTCAGCCGCCGCCACTTTGGCAGTGGCGGCGGCTGACTGAACATCGCTTCTAAAAATCTGCGCTACCATTGCAGGCTGCCCCTGATACCACACGCAGCTGGAACACGCGGTCCTCAAGCATCTTCATCGAGTGCGATCAACCACAAGCAAAGCCAGCGCGTAAACAACTACGTGCAAGTCATCTTCGACGGAGCGTGGGAAACTGCTACTGGCCAGTTGGACTGTCACCCTAGCGACACCTAGCTACAAAGGAGGAGGCGCTACACGTTCTTTCGGCACTTTGGCAGTGGCGGCGGCTGACTGAACATCGCTTCTAAAAATCTGCGCTACCATTGCAGGCTGCCCCTGATACCACACGCAGCTGGAACACGCGGTCCTCAAGCATCTTCATCGAGTGCGATCAACCACAAGCAAAGCCAGCGCGTAAACAACTACGTGCAAGTCATCTTCGACGGAGCGTGGGAAACTGCTACTGGCCAGTTGGACTGTCACCCTAGCGACACCTAGCTACAAAGGAGGAGGCGCTACACGTTCTTTCGGCACTTTGGCAGTGGCGGCGGCTGACTGAACATCGCTTCTAAAAATCTGCGCTACCATTGCAGGCTGCCCCTGATACCACACGCAGCTGGAACACGCGGTCCTCAAGCATCTTCATCGAGTGCGATCAACCACAAGCAAAGCCAGCGCGTAAACAACTACGTGCAAGTCATCTTCGACGGAGCGTGGGAAACTGCTACTGGCCAGTTGGACTGTCACCCTAGCGACACCTAGCTACAAAGGAGGAGGCGCTACACGTTCTTTCGGCACTTTGGCAGTGGCGGCGGCTGACTGAACATCGCTTCTAAAAATCTGCGCTACCATTGCAGGCTGCCCCTGATACCACACGCAGCTGGAACACGCGGTCCTCAAGCATCTTCATCGAGTGCGATCAACCACAAGCAAAGCCAGCGCGTAAACAACTACGTGCAAGTCATCTTCGACGGAGCGTGGGAAACTGCTACTGGCCAGTTGGACTGTCACCCTAGCGACACCTAGCTACAAAGGAGGAGGCGCTACACGTTCTTTCGGCACTTTGGCAGTGGCGGCGGCTGACTGAACATCGCTTCTAAAAATCTGCGCTACCATTGCAGGCTGCCCCTGATACCACACGCAGCTGGAACACGCGGTCCTCAAGCATCTTCATCGAGTGCGATCAACCACAAGCAAAGCCAGCGCGTAAACAACTACGTGCAAGTCATCTTCGACGGAGCGTGGGAAACTGCTACTGGCCAGTTGGACTGTCACCCTAGCGACACCTAGCTACAAAGGAGGAGGCGCTACACGTTCTT